GGGCGCGCGCTCCACAAGCAGGCAGTTAGGTGTACTGGGTCCCAAGTCTCGACTGGACAGGACCGTGTGTGTGTGTGTATGTGTGTGTTTTATGGTTCCAAGGCGCGTTGCGTCCTCCGGCTATTTTGACTGGAATCGAATGAGGATGCCTATTTGGGTGCGATGCGGGAAGATTTATTCGAGTGTAGTGGTGGCTGTATGACAGCGAGCAGGGGCTTCCCAATTAGAAGGTGCGCGGAACGGCCGATGGACAACAACGCACCTGTCCCGGAGTTCATCAAGTCGTGCGTGTGATGTCTGGGAGTTGTTGGTTCTGTGCGATCGGTTCGATTCTCGAAACCAGCTCAGTTCCGATCATTTCCGGCTACGTTTGGTGCTGATATCGAGATTTATCTCAGATCGGTCTAAGAGACCGAAGAGGGTACCTGTTAGGTTTCAAGGTAAATTTCAAGATGCCTGTAAAAATTGACTTGGTTGTTTTCACAGTTTCCAAGGGCTAATCTGGATTATTCTCGTTGTAATCCACGTCATGAATACCGACCCTTATTTGTTGTCGTGCCGGGCTGGAATCCATGTCGTCGCATGGCACGCATGGCAGTGCCAACCACATGTCGCGCCGTCCATGACGCGGTCTTGTTGTTGTTGCTGCGCGACAAGCGCAGGCAACGCTGCCAGACGATTCGATTTCGAGATATCGACAGTTGGACAGTTGACCGTCCTGATCGACTCGGCGTGTGTCATTGCCGTGTCCGTACGAAGAGGGATTTGTCGTCGGACTTTTGTTTTGAGATATCCGATACGTCGTGCCGCGCCATGCGGCGAGTGTGTTCGTCCCAGGCTGACCCGACTCGGACCCGACGGCCGACGCGGCGGTCCAGTGATCGATGCCAAGTCGAACAAGAGCGTACCTTGCTCGGACGTGACCCGACGGCTTGTGGGCGGGAACGAAGCGACACGCTTGTTCGTTCGGGTGGCACACATTTTCGGAGCGCGAAGCCGTTCGTCTCGCCACGAGGCTCCTTCAGGGAGAGTGTGAATTTCAAAGTCGAACTGAATTTAGAGTCGCCCCTCGACCAGTGAGCGCCTTCCCGAAGGTTTGGTTAACGATCTCCAACTATTATCGGGAAACACGTGTCGGCGACCCGGGCTTCTTTAATTAGAGTGATATATTGGGAAGCCGACACGTCGGTGGACGCGGACCTGGACGGTCCTGGACGCCCCTTCGGCGTCCCTCCGGACCTCTGGATGCAGCGCGGCCTTCCGGGAAGGCCGTCTAGGCCAGCCAGAGGCCAGCCAGAGGCCAGCCAGAGGCCAGCCAGAGGCCAGCCAGAGGCCAGCCAGAGGCCAGCCAGAGGCCAGCCAGAGGCCAGCCAGAGGCCAGCCAGAGGCCAGCCAGAGGCCAGCCAGAGGCCAGCCAGAGGCCAGCCAGAGGCCAGCCAGAGGCCAGCCAGAGGCCAGCCAGAGGCCAGCCAGAGGCCAGCCAGAGGCCAGCCAGAGGCCAGCCAGAGGCCAGCCAGAGGCCAGCCAGAGGCCAGCCAGAGGCCAGCCAGAGGCCAGCCAGAGGCCAGCCAGAGGCCAGCCAGAGGCCAGCCAGAGGCCAGCCAGAGGCCAGCCCAGCCAGGCCAGCCAGAGGCCAGCCAGAGGCCAGCCAGAGGCCAGCCAGAGGCCAGCCAGAGGCCAGCCAGAGGCCAGCCAGAGGCCAGCCAGAGGCCAGCCAGAGGCCAGCCAGAGGCCAGCCGCTGATTCCCTGTCAGCGCGGCAACGGCACCTGTGTGATGTCTTTGTCGCTGGAGTGGCTTTGGCGAGGCTCGGCGGCGCAGCGGGGCGCCCTGGGCGGAGGCGCCTTCGCGTCGGGATCAGCGCCAGAAGTCGGTGATTTTCAACAGGTGTTTTGTTTCCCCGAAGCAGGCGGTTCGACTCTGTTAGTGTGAGTGACGATGCTGGCTGGGCGCGTTTTGTTTCGAATCGTTGCCAACTATTTTTAGAGCACACTGGTAGCCAACGAATGTGACGTCATATTCATTCGAATGTGAATTTAGCCACGTTCGTTTGAATATAATGTCACATTCGTTTGAATGTTGATCCACGTTCTAACGAATGTGACGTCATATTCAAACGAACGTGAAAAAATTTATACTCCAACGAATATGACGTCACATTCGTTGGCTACCAGTACAGTCTTGATGGAGGCAATTGAGCTTCTGGCATTGCGTACTTTTCGTTGAGTCCACCCTCAGCCCCAACGGTCGGCCACCGGCGTGCCGGAAGCTCTGTGCGCGCGGCGCAGCGGCCCCTATGGCAGCTCGTCTGTTGGAACAGCCCCGGCCCGGTTGCACCGGTTTCACACCCTCCAAAGCAGCAAGGACAACAATGGTGGCCCTGGCACCGTCCTGGCACCGCCTAGCCGCGTCTCACACCTCGCCTTCTTATCACCACGGGCATCATATTCAAACAACACCCCGGTGGCCCCAAACAGCATCACACCTGTGCCGAGCGCTGCCCCGCAGACCCTGTTTCCTAGAGTCCTCGCTCTGTCTCTCTCGCACCTGCACGGGAGCCCGCATGAGTGCGAGAGAGACAGAGCGACAAGACCGGCACCTTTATGGGGCCGCAATAATTTCAGGCCCCGGAGCGGTAATGACTCTTCACGGCGACACCCCTCATTAAATTCCAAAGTTTCAAACGTTTAAAGCTGTGGACTATTTTTGTTGTTGCTGCTGTTGTTGTTGTTGGACCGCGTCTTTTCGTCCAGTCGGAAGGACACTCATGAGACCCGAAATAATACAGTGGAAAACTCAAGTTAATTTCCATCCTAACTATTTACGGAATCCTAGAAAGAAGGGGCATTGCAGGTTCTCTGAAATTAGGAAATTGCTGAAACAAAATTCATTAGCTTCCTGGACTGGAAGACAGGGAAAATGTACTGATTCCGAAAGAAAATTAAAAGCTTTGAATAAATAATAATTCTCCTTTCTGTAAAGCACAGTGCTCCCTATTCATGCATAAGCCTAGGTACACTCGTAGCTGGACGAAACAGATCAGAAAGCCGCGGCAATGGACTTGAAACCTGGACTTCACTTCACACCCATAGTTCCCTTGTTTGCTTCCCAACTCCGGTCGCCTTGGTCGGCTTTGCCTCGCTCGTTTGGCCGCTCTGCCCTGCCTTATCGGTCATCTCGCAGTGACGCGGTCGTTGTTTAAGGCAGAGGTCCTAATTTGCCGGGCATGGGATGGCGATGTGTGCGGACAGGCGGACGCTATCAGAGAGACCGATAAATGCCGAAATTTGTACTCGTGGTTCGGGGTGCCGAGGCATGCCACAGTTGGTGCAAGTGGCCATCAAGCCGAAGGCTTATCTCGACAGCGAGGGGAGACCAAGTTGCACTGCGTTGAAATGGTTTCAATGTGTAGAAATATCTCTGAAATGAAAGAAACTGTTTTAAGTGAGCTCATGCTCACTTGGTCGACAAATACAATTCGTTCCGTGGGATGAAACACACGACCACAATGCGTCCGAAAGTGACAGTTTTGACGGGAAGGGTTCAGGCCCTCCCTACCCAGGGGGTGCCCTGGGGGTACCGTCTGAGATTGTGGCGACTGCCTGCTGCGAGCAAGGGCCGAAAACCACCTCGGGCACCTTGTCAGGTGAGAAAATCAAAGCTTTCAACTCATTCGTGGTCACGTTCCCAATTTCTTGGGACATTTTTTTAGGACGTCAGACACCGAGAATGTGTTTGTTTGTTTGTCAATCAACCCTTCCGAAAAGGTTTGGCTTGGTGCCTTGCGAACAGAAATCGGGAATCAGTATTTATGTGTAGGAAGGGGTGGGCTGAAAACTGAGCTCTGCATCTGGAGCCACTGCAGCCATGCGGAGCGTGTTTTACGAAGCGACGCGACTTCTGGGAATGCCTGCCGCGCGTCGCATTTTCGCACCCTTTGACCCCATAGTGCCCCATAATGCTGTCAATCGGGACAGCAGCGGCTGAGCCGAGGCTGAGCTGCCCCAGGCGGCGTGCAGCAGTGTAGCGAGCGTTTAAAATGTTTCCTTTGCGGTCTGTGACTTCGACTTCCCCGCGCGGCACGGCTAGGGGTGACGCCGGTCCCCCTCCCCCACCTTGACCTACGCGACCCAATGCGGTGACGAGCCGAGCCGAGGCCCGCGTGTCAAGCCGGGCCAGGCGGCCGGGCCGAGCCGAGACGGGCCAAGAAAGAGAACGCGGCGTGAAACGTGGCGAATCTCAGCAGCTGTGACTCCAATGGGCCCAACGGCCCAGCACACGTGTCGTCAACGCGATACCTCCTAGCAACAGACCGGGCACGCTTCTCAAAACTCACGTACTTTCGGCAGCTTGTGCAACAAACACGCAGTTTCGCCATTTCTAGTCAAAAAGCACGCAGTTTCCGCATTTTCGTCCTGGCGGGCACGGAAATGCATTTTGGGTATTTTTCATGGTTGGGCTAGTGAGGTACAGTCACTAAGTCACCATTAATAACCTCAAAACGGTTTCAGGAGTGATCTGCATTGAAATATTACAGGAAGTTTGGAGGTTAAAGGGGGGCCTATATTTAACGACAGATCGTTCCTGAAACCGTTTCCAGGTTATCAATGGTGACTTAGTGACTGCACCTCACTAGCACAACCACGAAAGTTACCCAAAATGTATTTCCGTGCCCGCGAGGACGAAAATGCGCAAACTGCGTGCTTTTTGACTAGAAATGGCGAAACTACGTGTTTGTTGCACAAGCTGCTGAAAGTACGTGAGTTTTGAGAAGCGGGTCCGAAGTACGTGTCTGTTGCTAGGAGGTATCGAACGGCGTCCTGTGCCGGCGGTGTCCTGCTCGGTGGTGTGGTGTCCCGGTGGTGTCCTGCTCGGTCCTGACGGTGTCCTCACTCACGGCAGTGTCCTGCCGGCAGCAACAGCACGTAAACATGACACGATGGACTGAAAGCGCGAAGGTTTTCGATGAACACGAACCATCTCGCGTGTGAGCCCCCTCGATCTGGATTGACTGTTGCGGAATCAAAATACCCGTCATGCCTGTGGCGGTCTGTACTGACGTCGCGCGCTGCGTTTGCTCACGCTGCGGCCAACGCGGCCTGCCCGCCAGAGTGCTTCGAACAACTGCTGCGATGGTTCAGGCACAGAAGTGACAACATCTTTTTCGGATAAGAACGGTAACTGACAACTTCGACCTTGCGACCATCCATTCCAGTTACAAGGTCATAGACCGTGTTTGAGATTTCAGCCTTTCCAATCATGTCCGGACTTCGGACAAAAACCATGTGCATTTTTCTTGTGATTTCCACCGCTGCTGGAAAGAAGTGGCTTCATTCAACCGCCGTAAGTTCCTTGCCGTCATTCTTCACCATAACTTTAGGTTAGTCCCACAGTTTCTTTGTCCTGTTTCGCTAAGGGTCCGTATCGGTGCATTTACAAACGTATGTACAACTGCCCAATCGGCGAAGACGGCTTCGAAGGCGCCACGATGTACCACATTCGACCGCCGCGCTACAACCCGTTCCGACCCACTGATCCACAGCTCCTGTACGGCAACATCACAAGAACCATGCCTTTCAACGACACGTACTGGGTAAGTCTTTCTTTGCGGCTTTCGTCGTACGTATCTCATTTCATTTCGCACAGCTGAAAGTTCATTAAAAGACGCAAAAGACAATTTTCATTGCAATAAATCAGCACTGAGAAAACCTTACGCACTATTTTAGGCATTACAAAGTAAAGCAGCTTGTTATAACAAAGTATTTTGAGCATACATACACTTACAAAGAAAGTCCTTCGTAATTTACGAACTATTTCCTTGTATAACAAAGTAAATCAGTTTGTATAATGTATGCTCAAAATACTTCGTAAAGTTTTAAGCGTGAGCACCTTTATGCATCAATAAAAACGTAATGAATTTAGTTGAAGATGTCCGCGGCCATTTGGAGCAACAATCAGTGGAAGGACAACGCCATTGTTTACAACTACCCCGAGGACGCGTGCACACTGGAGCGCAAAAATGACGTCAACGTTTACCGGCTCATGTACGGAAAGGAGCTGAGCGACAAAGGACCCTGCTTCGCCCAAGCGGTGAGTCACATAAATAAATTTTAAAGTCAATTGCGTGTGTACTATTTTTCAGTGTAGGTCTACACTCTAAATATGGGGTGCCCAGAAACTGGGCGCCTTTGTCGCCTGCCCCACTTTTTAGGGTGCCTAATGTCGCCCAGTTTCTGGGCACCTTTGTCGCCCAGTATCGGGGTGGACTAAACATGCAGTAACCGGCCCTCTCCCATGGTAGAGCATGCACAGGTGTCTAGTTCCTGGGCGACTAAGGTGACCAGATTCTGGGCACCTTTGGCACCTTAGTCGCTGCTGAGCCAAGGGTGAGGGCAGGTTCCTTAATGGTTTGTCCACTGGACGACAAAGGTGCCCAGAAACTGGGCGACATTTGGCACCCTAAAAAGTGGGGCAGGCGACAAAGGACACCCTACATTTAGAGTGTAGTCTCTTTACTGCTTTTAATCTGCTTCAGGGCACGCTCATCCTAGACGGAGAGCCGATCAACGGAACCGGCAGCGGCTCGCTTTTTCCTCAACTGCCGTACGGCCTGTACCGCGCGCGGAGGACGTTGGGACTGAAAGGATCCATCCACCCCATTGAGTGTCTCTACACGGAGCAAGAAGTAGTAGCCGACTTACTATAAAAATGAAAAATTTCGGTCGAAAAGAAGAAGAAAAAGAGGCCCTCCAGGTCGTTCTGTGTTTGAACCCACGACCTGTCGTCCGGACGTCGCGAACTGATTATTCGCAGCCGGGCGAAATTGGAGAAGGAGTCGCGTACGTGTGTGTGTGTGTGTGTGTGTGTGCGTGTGTGTGCGTGTGTGTGTGTGTGTGTGTGTGCGCGCGCGCGCGCGTACGGATTGAATCGGATTTCTTGCCACATGTGCGGTTGGTGTGTCGCTCAGGTAACGCACACAGAGACCCTTGTCAAGTGTTGCCAACATCGGCAGCAGCAATTCCACACAGGTTGGCGCCCTGGCGCACGTCTCTCTCTCTCCTTCTCTCTCTCTCTCTCTCTCTCTCTCTCTCTCTCTCTCTCTCTCTCTCTCTCTCTCTCTCTCTCTCTCCCTGACTGACACTGGGAGGCTGTTCGTCACCACCGCGTCTTGCACCGCAGACGGACGCCTGACAGTGTGGCCACCCTTCTCACCTGAAATCCGAAACGGTGCGCCCCTCCCCCGCCCCTCCATAGACTCTGCCGCCGCCCCGTCTCTGTCTCTCCTTTCCCTCTCCGTCCGACACAGGAAGCCCCTGGCCCACTGTGTGGCCCCCGCCTCGGGGTCAACGTCTCCCACGTTACACAGATCGGCGCGAAAAACGAAAAGTGCGCGTGGGAAGCGAATTGTGTCACCACCGCCCTCTCGATAATGCAGTGCAGTGGTGCCACCACCGCCCCCTCGATGATGCAGTGCAGTGGTGCCACCACCGGCCCCCTCGACGCTGCTCGGCGTGCGGTCCAGGGGGCTGTGCAGCGCTGTCACCACGCCCTTGCAGACCGCAGCCGTCGAGGTTGGCAGCACTGACAGCCAGTGAGAGCGAAGGGCTTGCCGAACGACCACACGACCGCGGTCCTAGGCCGACTGCAGGACTACAAACAGCGACTAGAAGTCGGCCCGCCGCCCACCTGCTGCCGGCCCTGCGGTCGCGGCGGTCGCAGTCACAGCGCGGAGCGGCGGAACGTGGAACGCACCCCGCCGCCGCGCGAGGCGTGCCGGCCCACCGACTCAGGTTTCACAGGCCGGCTTTTTCGGCATACGAAGACGGCAGACGCCTGCGCCGCCGTCCGAGAGTCGTCGCTCTGTCTCTCTCGCACCCGTGGGGCGTCGCGTGGAGGCGCGAGAGAGACAGAGCGACGAAAACGACGCGCAGTCGTGCCGCCGACTGACATTTATGTGAGCGTTTCTCGGCGCGGAATGGTCAGCTCTTTTTCACGCCGTTTCGGAGGCCGCGCCACCTGCCCCGTCTGTGTGCATGTGGTTTCCACCGTGGTTTCCACGCACGGCTACGAATTTCCCTACTGCTGCACCGTTCTGGTGCCCTACCTCGGTTTGGGTGCCCCAAGGGAGCCGCTGTGGATTTTTCAAACTGACAAATCAAAAATAATTTTACAGCTTTTGCCTTTTTACCTACTTTTTTGAAGGAGTAAGTAAACGAACTCTTTAGCTCGCAGATGATATCTTTACCTTTTCCTTACCTACTGCTTACCTACGTTTGTAGGACAGTTTAGTCGTAACTCAGTAGAAACTGGCCCAATAATGAGAATGTTGCCTAAGAGAAATATTTGTGGTGAAAATTTGGTAATTTTTGCAACGTCTGTTTTTGTGTTTTTTGATATTGTTGGCTGCTCCTCCCGCAACACGCGCCTCACCGCGTTACGCACACTGGAGTGGCCCGATTACGTGCGCAACAGTGCTTGCGTTCGCGCCTCGCGCCCCGCCGGCCCGGGCCCCGCGGGGAGTCGAACCCGGGCCCGCCGTCTGCCCACCTGGACGGGGGACACCTCAGCTTTGCCCGCCTCGCCGTCACGGCCAATCAGTGCGGCCGATTCTGGCGTGATGAATCACGACGCGGATTCGGATTCACATTCACACTCTGGCCTTCCTTTTTTTACCGCATTCATTGCAATTCATTGTTGCGCCCCTTTGGACCCGTCCGCTGATCCGCCACGAGGTTCGGCGGCCCGGAATTAGACATGCCCTCGCGCCATTCATCGCCTCCGTCTCCGTCGCACCACCACGCCGGCCCGCCGGCCCGCCCGGGTGCGAGAGAGACAGGGGCCCCTCTTTCCAGAAACGGCGTCAACGCGGAGGAAGAGGGGGGATGAAAAATGGAACGGGATGCGAACCGCGACTCTCCATTAGGGTGGTCCACTTTTTTTAAAAGTTTCAAAAATTGAGGAGCGCCGTCCAGATTCTGAAAGTAGGTGTAAAATCATGAATTTTGATACAAATATGATAAGATTTGGACCATTCTTAGGGGTCCATCAACGCGCCTGAACTTTAAAGAAAAGTTGAAAATGTAGCGGTATACTAAAATCGATGCTGTTACGAGAGTCTTTGTCCGATTTTCGATTGCAAAACGGCGATCTTTTCAGAAAAGTGCGCGCTACTTGATGATGTACATAAAATGACGATCCGACGCATTGCCTATTTTCCAGGGGCGTACAATCCCGTTTTTAGCCTCTAAATCCAACATGTTCTTGCGTTTTGAAGGTGTTTGAGTCGTGCGATCGGATTTTTTGGGTCACCATTCGACGCGCCTGATCAAAACCTTTCGAAAAATGTCTCAGGCGTCAAAATCGGTTGGTTTGCCTACTGTACAGGAGCAAAAAACCACTGAAATTCGCTTAAAATTGCTTTTTCGGGATACAAAATATCTTGTTTGGCATCGGGTCGGATTTCTTGTGGTGCCATTTGACGTACCTGGTCAAAAACTTTCGATTACCGTTTCGAGCGCTTGAATCCAGAGGGTCGCGTATCCTACAGACGAATTTTTCGACATTCGACATTTTTTGCTTGTAGGGTCGGCAATCCACCGGATTTGTACACCCAGGACGGTAATTGGAAGTTTTTGACCAGGTACGTCAAATGGCACCACAAGAAATCCGACCCAATGCCAAACAGGATATTTCGTATCCCGAAAAAGCAATTTTTAAGCGAATTTCAGTGGTTTTTTGCTCCTGTACAGTAGGCAAACCAACCGATTTTGACGCCTGAGACATTTTTCGAAAGGTTTTGATCAGGCGCCTCGAATGGTGACCCCAAAAATCCGATCGGACGACTCAAACACCTTCAAAACGCAAGAACATGTTGGATTTAGAGGCTAAAAACGGGATTGTACGCCCCTGGAAAATAGGCAATGCGTCGGATCGTCATTTTATGTACATCATCAAGTAGCGCGCACTTTTCTGAAAAGATCGCCGTTTTGCAATCGAAAATCGGACAAAGACTCTCGTAACAGCATCGATTTTAGTATACCGCTACATTTTCAACTTTTCTTTAAAGTTCAGGCGCGTTGATGGACCCCTAAGAATGGTCCAAATCTTATCATATTTGTATCAAAATTCATGATTTTACACCTACTTTCAGAATCTGGACGGCGCTCCTCAATTTTTGAAACTTTTAAAAAAAGTGGACCACCCTACTCTCCATGATGGAGTGGACATGCTTCGTGTGGACTGAACGTCTTGTATTTAATTTCGCGAACAAGGTATAACGTTACTCTTCCTTCAGGAGTTCAAATTTTCTTCCAATTTTTTGACCATTCAAAAATGGGCAACCTACTCCAATAACCGACGCTCCTATGGGCCGGGGTTTGCTCCAAGCGGATGCAAGGCTTCCCGTCAAAACCTGCCTGTATTTTTGCTTACATTTTTTTTCACCACTTGGTTTTTTACCGTTCCGAATTTGCTTCTTCTGCTCCACCGCCGTCTTGCGGCGGCTCTCGCGGTCTGGCTGGGGGTGTGACAGAGACCCGCACAATGCAGGGGGCTGCGGGGCTTTGTCCGGGGCGTCAATCCTCTCTCTCTCTCTCTCTCTCTCTCTCTCTCTCTCTCTCTCTCTCTCTCTCTCCTCTCTCTCTCTCACTTCCTCCACGTTTAATCCGATCTGCCTGTAAGGCGTCGGCAGTCATAATGGCGTATGTGGCAACCGCCGCTCGCGGTTTCACAAAAAAAAAAGAAAGAAAAAGAATGAAATGAAAAACGGAAAAAACGAAGAAGAAAATAATGACAAAGGTGGATAAGGACATGACGCGCCTGCAATAACAAACACGGCCGAGTGCGATCGGCCCGGCCGATCCATCTGCCCGTCACACCTTGAGCAGCTCTCCTGAAATTTCAGGGGCAAGCGGGGAAACGGGGCGCACCCAAAGTCAAATAGATACGGCAAATTGTAGCCAATTTTCGTTATTTTGGATGAGGGTGCACCTTGAAACATCGCGGTATTTTTAGTCATCCACCAGAGGATGAGGCAAGGACACAATACTGGCAGGGGCACAAGCATGTCGCCTGTGGTCACACGCGCGTACACACACACACACGGGACGAGAACGTGCCCTCTGGCGGGCGAAGGGCACAGCATGACAGAGTCCTTCACACTCGACTACACAACCCCTTGCACACATTCTGCGCAAATTAGGGGCCAGGAGCGAGGCTGCTTCCGGCCGGCGCCCGTCCCTCTCGCACTCATGGGGCGTTCCGTGCGGGTGCGAGAGAGACGGGGAGGCCGCCCGGCACAGACGCGGCCCGGCTCGGGTTGATGAGGCACCGCGGTGGTGTATGGTGTGGCTGCAGCGGACTCGGGGGCGAGCCGGGACAAAGCTCTGTTTACACTGCCCAGCTGACGTTTGAAATTCGATCCTGGTTCCCGCCCTTGCGAAAGGACGCCGAGGGACACACGGGGACCGCGTCGGGACGCACCTTCCAAAATGGCGTCGCCGGCGTCGCGTTTTGGAGGGCCTCGAGGTTTAGTGTTGAGCAAGGTGACCATGAAAATGAGCGACATATTTGTCATAGATTTACTGCAATTTAGTGTCATTGCTAGGCCCGTGCATTGCGAACTGATTCACGAAATGAGTGTGAATGAACCCCCTCCGCCGAGCGGTGCGTCGCTCACAGTGTGGCAGGATGTGGAAGCTGAGTCGC